AATAGGATGGCATAGAGCCGGGCCTGCCCACCTTCAGATTGTCACTACCAGTTCACCCAAACCAATCCGAATCGGCTGAAGACCACCGCTGGTGCAAGAAGACACCTTTAAAAAAAAAAGAGAAAGGGGGAAAGGTGTTTTTTTTCCCCACACACACAAACTAAAAGAGAGGTGTTTCACTTTTCCCATCTTCTTTTACCCAGAAATGTTAGGAGTAAAAAAGTTACTAAATGTTGGCTTTTCAAGGCACACGATGGATCCATAGCGGGCCAGTCTCCAAATCTTGCATGGTGCACAGGAACCCTTTAAAAGTCATTCTCTACTTCTTGGGGGAAACCCCCCTCTATTTCCAGAGAAGTTGGTGGGGGGAATAACCTTCAAACAGAATCGATGTTGTGGGTCTTGCGTAGTTGAGCTTGACAACTGAAGGCCTAAGGAAAGTTCTGTGCCCAATTTAAGTTGTGATCAGCAAAAACAGCCGTCACAGAAATGTCAGTTTCCGCATCACCTTGCACAGATGCCTGGAACATGGTGATTTCTCAGCTTGCCTTATATCTAAATGGAAGAAAAATAAAAAAATGTAAGAAGAACAGATAGTAAAGACCATGGGCATCTTTTCCAGCTCAAGAGGGGTGATGAAATCTTTTATTAGACCAAGGGTAACATATTGCGTCAAGTGACTTTTTAAAAATACTTATTTTTGTACGACAGACATCCAGGATAAGACAGTGATACCAAATATATGCATGGAAAAATATTACATGGGTGTAAGATGATACTTTGGCCACCTGATGAGAAGGAAGGACTCACTGGAGAAGAGCCTAATGCTGGGAAAGATGGAGGGCAAAAGAAGAAGGGGACGACAGAGAACGAGGTGGTTGGATGGAGTCACCAAAGCAGTCAGCATGAGCTTAAATGGACTCCAGAGGATGATAGAGGACAGGAAGGCCTGAAGGAACGTTGTCCATGGGGTTGTGGTGGGTCGGACATGACTTTGCAACTAACAGCAGCAAAGATGATAAATCATACCTTCTCTAGCCTTTTTTTAAAAAGTCAGAGGAAGAGGAAAAGGTAGGGAATTTTTCACACCCAATCCCCTTAAAAGACAGGTGTTTCACCTTTATCATCTTCTTTGACAGGGAAATGTTGGGAGCCAAAATGGATGGAAAAAAGAAAGAGCTCATTTTTGGCCTACGTTTTTTTTTTAAATTGTTTAAAACATTTCAGAGATTTAGCATCTTTTTGTGTGGCTGCATTTCAGGATGGGATTCAAGGGTCAGGCAGTCACTCTACATCCTGTCTGCGTGTGTACAGGTAATTCTCGACTTACAACAGTTCATTTAATGACTGTTCAACGTTACAACAGCACTGAAAAATATAACTTACGACCGTTTTGCAGAGTTATGACTTTTGCAGCGTCCCCATGATCACATGTGATCATAATTCAGATGGTTGGCAACTGGTTCAATCTTATGACAGTTGTGATGTCACGGGGGGTCATGTGATCCCCTTTTGCGATCTTCTGACAAGCAAAGTCAATGGGGAAGCCAGATTCACTTAATTACTATTAAGTTAATTACTAACTTGTCAACTGCAGTGATACACTTAACAACTGTGGCAAGAAAAGCTGTAAAATGGGGCAAAACTCACTTAACAAATATTTCACTTAACAGAAATTTGGGGCCCAATTGTCATCGTAAGCTGAGGCCCACCTGTATATCTGTACATTTGAAAATTGTGTTCAAATAGCCTAGGCTCAGATGTCTGGGCCCAAACGAAGCTATCTCGGACGAGTTGCCAAGGTTAATTCACTGGATTAGTAGATTTGTGTAATGCAATAACTGCATTGATTCATTTAAATATATTGTGTAAATAATTTCAGGTCGGTTCTAACACAGATGAGCACAGAACAAAATGGACTGTCAGTCATTAAATGCACAACGCAAGACTTTTTTCCCACTGTCCACAACCAGATTCAAGTTACTGTCAGGGTTCCAAGAAACACCCCAACAAAAGAGTGGCTTGAAGTTCCTCAAAGTTCCATTTTATTAGAGATGTCATATTGGCACATCTGGGAAAACCCGGATCTGAAAGCTCCCAGGTTTCCCCCACCCAAAGGAAAGTCCCAAGTCCCTGCCCAGCACCCACATGTCCGTCACATGACCCAATCAGGCACCGTCCCAACTGGAGACTCCTCCCAGTCACGCCACTCAAGATGCAGGGCAAAGTGTCCTTGACACTCTGAGAAAGGAATGTTGTTATGACTATATATCTCCCATACGCCATATAACCACCCCCCCTCTCATTTTCCCACAACATTGAATGTGGCAGCCCGGAAGGTCCAATGTAACTGTTACGCTTTTAGCCATCCATGGCAGTAAATGAATCGTTACACTTTGTTGTTGTTTTATTTTTTGGGGGGGGGGTATGTGATTAGGGAGGAAAAGTAGCAGCCGCATCCTTTGAATGTTGCAACTATTGCCCCAAGGAACCAGAAGAGCGTGTCTAGACAGAAAAGAAGAAAGACAGCTACTGAGTCACTGAGAGAAATTGAGACAGCAGCTGGCACTATCCAACTTGCAGTAAGAGCAGCAGCATTAAAACAACAGGGATTTTGTAAGCTGTTTTTTAACAACCCAAATATAAATATTTTTCCCCCGCCTTCTAAGCCACTATGTGAAATCAACTTCCCCAAGGAGCGGGAAGGCATTGCTCCATAGAAAGATTCTTTCTTGTGGAGCCACTCAAAAGTCACAGTTGGAAGTATTTTTCTATATATTTTCCTATATTTTCTACATTCTGTTGGTCCTTTTTCTCTCTGAAGATTTCATCAACTCCATCCAGCCACAACTTACTTGATGTTCTCCTTTCTCCCTTACCCGTGAAGTTCCTTTCCTTCATGTAACTGGTTTGCAACTTAACAATCATTATCTCTAGATGACCCAACCCTCACAATATATTTCTTTAACGCTGGTCACTCCCTTTGATATATATATATAGTCTATATTAATTGAGCAGACATTTATTCTTATCTCTTGTTTTTATTTCACATGCAATTAAGCACTTTATTGCCACAGCATTCAACTTCCTCCCTGCCACCCAAATACAAACACTGGTCAAAAAGTGAATTATGGAGTCCTGAAATCTCTATGGAGATTCTCAGTCATCCAGGTCATGTTTCTCCCAAAAGTGCTTAGTGTTGTGGCCCGCCAGCAAAGCTGGCAGCAGACTCAGACAGTGAGGAGGTTGGGGAGGAACATGGCCCAGTCCTGGGGTCTGGGGAAGGCTCAGATGAGGGCTCTGCATTGGAGGCAGAGATGGGGCCAAGGCCTTCTGGCAGTTCTCAGGTGCCTTCGGAGCTAGACAGCAGTGAGGCAGAGGAACAGCTGGAGCCTGTTCCCAGTGGGCCCATGCACAGAGCTGCCAGAAGAAAAGAACAGCTCAGAAATCAGGATCGACTTGGGAGTCAAGCCACAGGTGGATGGTAGATGGACCCTCCCATAGGAAACAAAAGAGGAGTGAAAGTAGAGTGGGCTTTTGCAGGAAACAATTCGTTTGTTCATTCGTTCATTCATTTCAGGAGTGTGAAGATCTGTCTGTGAATCCCAGAGACTCTCTGCCAACTCTTTCCTTGCACTGCACTGCATTTGGGAAATATTTACATGGAAACCTTCCAAGCTAGATAAGGTCTGTGGTCATAACTTCACCTTTGAAAGGCTGTTTACCAGGCCTTTGCTGAATGTGAATGTGAGGAATTCACATTCGCTTCATAAAAGGAGTTTTCCTGCGACCAGGAATCTGCTTCATGCTTTTTGGGGAAACCTAGGTCAGAACACTTTTCAAGAGGCAACTGGACTTTCTGGTTTTTCTTTGAAGATGTTTTACTTCTCATCCATGTTACACCCACGTTACACCTATCCTCCGCGAGCTGCACTGGTTACCGATCAGTCTCCGGATACGCTT